ACAAGCCAATTTTATCAAAAGCAGAGGCGAAAGATATTATGAGTAGGGCTTACAAAGTAACTGGAGAATATCTTGATCGTATTGTAAAGAAATATTTAGGAAATGTGGCAGAAATTGAGTATTCAGAAATTTTAAAACAAACAATCAAAGCTTTAGGCGACGCAGCATTTTCATGCCCCATATCACATTTAGTGGAAAGACTATCTCAGTATGATCACACAGTCTACGTTTATAAGTTCAATCATACTCGAATCAAATCTCTGTTTAAAAAATGGATGGGAGTTCTACACAACGAAGATTTGCATTTTGTGTTTGGAAGACCATTATTAAAACAGAAAGATTACACCGAAGAAGAAGTATTGTTTAGCAGGAGAATTATACAACTTTGGACGTCGTTCGCTAAAACTGGGTGAGCTTTAGTTTTATAATGTGTGTTTCTAAGATAAAAAAATACATAAAATATTTCATTTGAAATATTTAAATGAATAAAATATTGTAGTTTGTATTGTAAATCGTTATAAATAAACTGTGTATATTAAATACACAGTTTATTTATAATGATTTACAACTTTATTTAATATTACGTGTTCTTTATTAATCAGGATTGACTATGAGAAACTCTTATTGATCTGTTTTCGTTACTAATTATCAAAATTTGAAACTGATTTCTATGATTACACTTTATGTAAAGTATGCGTATTATATTCGATAGACAGCATTTTATAGCAAATTACATAAAAAGTAATAATTATATAGAAATATTAATTAGGCTATTCCGAAATCCTATTTTACATCAAGTATTTTTAAAAGGCTATATTACGCAATTTTATTATATGAATAAACTGTAATAATCCTTCAATAAGAAAACTTACTATTGTATAATGGTTTAAAAAATTAATATATTTTATTCACTAGGAAACCCACTTTCGATGAAATGCAGTTTGAATGGAAACAGTTCGATAAGCACCAACAGAACTTCCTTTCTCTGACTCTTGGTAATATTCGTCCTATGGAAGCAGATTTGGAAGAAAATTGCGAGTTTTGGAAGGAGATACTCAGAGAATATACAAATAAAATGTACATGTACTAATTATAAATTTGGATTTATATATGGTTATATCTTGAAACATTTAAGGTTTGAAGTTCCATTCACTATTCCTACAGAAAGAACAAATTTTTTATATAAATGTAAACACTTTACCTTCGAAAATTTCAATAAAAATGATAATATAATTTGTTTGAGTGTATAATTTTTTTTCTTTACAATGAAATTATGATTCGTGTTACGCTCTTCTAATGTTAAATAAAATACCAATGGACAAGTATTAATGCAGAGCAATTTATGTTATTAATTGTCAAGGATTGAACACAAACTACAGTAACGATATGAAACATAATTCAACTGATACATTATATATAACGCACTAAAATATGTTCTAAGAGTAAGTGTTTGATAAAATTTATGTAAATTGTAATAAAATTATTGGCATAATAATTTTAAAACTGCCTGTGAATTTTAGATATTAAAATGACACATTCCATTTTAAATTTCTCCTGTTTTGTCCTTTTTTCGCGTCTGCATAAATGTAGCGTTGGGCATCATATATTATCAGGCTGAAGATACCGTTGCCACAATATTATTATTAACTAGCAAATAAGCTCGGCGTTGTTCGGGCAAAAATTAACAATAGCGAAAATTAAGGTTTTTACATTATAGCTAATCTTACCCGTTTTCACAGAATGCAAGGATTAGATATAGTGTTTTCAGATTAATTAGAGAACTTTTAGATGGGGTAAAAATATGTTTGATTTCATGCAAAACGCAAAAAGAAAAAAAACGCATCTGCGTCTGTTAACCTTGCACGCCTCTTTCTCTTAACACTTCCGTTGTTAACACTTCCCCCCGCGTCGGAAGTGTTAAAAACCATTCCCCCGCGTGGAGAATTACGAAAAATCTCTCGTTAGTGTACGCACCGTATTAAAACGTGTCAAAAACGCAAAAAACCGCATCTAAAATAGTACATTAGAAGAACAGTTCTTCAGGGTAAGCCTTAATTCCCTCCCTCTCCCACGTGAGGAGAATTTCCAAAACTCCCTTCTTAGTGTACGTTCTCGTGACGTACTCTAACTGTGTACCTAATTCCAACTTTGAACTGCCACCCTTTTGGGCTCCGCGGTTATTATCAACCCATTGCGATTATATATACGGATAAAGTATTTTAGAAAACACATATATACATAGCGTATGACAGAAATATGTGTCCCAAATTCACAGGCCTGTACAATATAGTAGATAAAAAATGCAGGGGCTTTTGCATCTAAAGTATATATATTTAAGTCGTGAGAAGAATATAAAACTCTTAGAAAAAACTGGTCTTAATGCATGAGGAAAACTTTAATGAAATATTTTTTGTAATTAGAACACAAATCAATTATTGTATTTATTCAGACACTTCGCAAATTTGATTATTAAATTTTATTCAGTTGATACGTGTTCATTGTATTTTTACACGTTTCTGGCATTTCTTGCCCCTCTTCAGCCAACTGAAATAAAAGTTCAGAAGTTACAACAGTTTTATAAACAAACAAATAAGGTCATGTTTCCAAAACATACCTTTTTGATTACAGATTACTGAAAGTTAAAATCATAAAATTTCTCTGCACATTTAACTTGTTATCCATCAAATTACAAATGTTTGTAAGGTTTGTACCTTTAAAACACCTTTACACGCACGACTTCTTATTATCTAAAAAACGTTTTTTAAAAATTTTATATATTTGACTTCATATTATCTAAAGATTTTACATTAATTATCTTGTATACAACTATTTTGATAACAATACTACAAATTACGTACCTAGTTATTCATTTTGAAATGTTATAAAATTTAAACAATTTTAAAATTTTTTCTTATACATTTATTATCACGTTTAAATCTATTTAAAAACAATACCAAAATTTACATACTCATCTTTCATCTAAATCAGTGTTTCTCAACGGGGGCGATATCGCCCCCATGTGGGCGTTTTTCCATGTTGAGGGGGCGATTTGTAACCATTTATATTTTGGGTGACGAAAAACAATATTCTGGGCGATATAGTAAAACATTATATTAAGAATAATTAGATATTTTATTCGTTATATCGTACAATAATTAAACAAATAACATTATACTAGTCACTAGTCTATTCAACGTAGTACGAATTTGGCGTTAGCCTTGGCCCTCGGCATCGGAATTTTGAAGTGAAGGGGCGATACTACGTAACGGTTTTATTGAAGGGGGCGATACTACGTTGAAGGGGGCGACGATTCGTTACAGGTTGAGAAACACTGATCTAAATCCTTTCCCCCTTCAAGTTGAGCTTGCTCACAGTCACATGACGAGTTGGCCACCTTGTGGCGACATTTTTTTAAAAATAATATTTAACATATTTTTTTACATAGGGATATTTTTAAAAAAGGTTTCTAATTTTATAAGATATTGATGGATAACAAGTTAAATGGGCAAAGAAATTTTATGATTTTAACTTTCAGTAATCTGTAATCAAAAAGGCATGTTTTGGAAAACATGACCTTATTTGTTTATTTATAAAACTGTTGTAACTTGTGAACTTTTATTTTAGTTGGCTGAAGAGGGACAAGGAACGCCCGAAACGTGTAAAAATACAATGAACACGTATCAACTGAATAAAATTTAATAATGCGATTTGCGAAGTGTCTGAATAAATACAATAATTGATTTATGTTCGAATTACTAAAAATTATTGGCACAGTTTAAAAAATACCAGAAATATTTTTATTTTTATTTATATAAATTTAAACTGTGAGTAATTTTTACATTGTATAACACTATCCGTTTTTTTAACAAAATGGGTCTTACTTAAACGATGTACTGTACGTCCCTTGACCTGTAGGTATCCTGCAGATGCTTCTACAACGCTCAAAAATTGCATTTTTAGTTTCTTGTTTCCTTTTATATGAAGCTAAGCCCAATGTGTTATGACAGACTGTCAAAGGTGATTGTCTCGAGTTTTTTCTGTTACCAATCAAATGTACTGTACCTAGATATGTAAAGATAATGGGTTTAACGCAATTAGACAATAATTATTCATGTTATAAAAATTCATAAAAACATAATATTTTTTATTTTATGTAACATGTTATGTTTATTTTTCACTATATATAGTACAGGAAGGTCTATCGACTTTCACTCGAATTAACATTTCAAAGCGTATAACAGAATAGACTTCTTAGGTAAGTCTTCCATTCAAAATTTAATGTTAAAATTTATTTATTTATTTTGAATATACGACAATTTCTTGTTTTATACAGTAATTTTGATTTACAGTAAAGTATAAATTTTTCATTAAGAATAGTCATATTTAACCAGCATTTCTCTGTAATGAATGTAATTAACTAAGCACAATACATTTAAATGCGATTTATTAATTATATTTCGTAAAATGGAATACAAGGTAAATTGTGTAATCTTCTTTAATAATAAATATTCATTGTTGCAAGATGTCGATATTATATGCAAATTATTACTAACAAATTAGCATAACATTAGTAACGCACAGTGACTATAATACAGAAAATAGTTGTTATAAAATAAGAGTTTGAAATTGTAAGGAACATTCAAATATATTGACTATAATTAAGTTAAGAGGAATTCGTGATAAAAGTGACCGACTTTTTCATTGACTGATTATTATTTATTGACTGATTTTTTCATTGACTGATTATTATATATAATTATTTCTTACAATATTAATAGTTTATTATAGTACGAGCAATCAACTGTAACAGGAAGATCTTGGCGAAGTTCAATAAACTTAATTGTCCAATGTGATAGATGTATTAATAGAACAGTAATAAACTGATGATAATTTGTAAAAAATAAAAATCTCTTTTTAATATTTATCAGATTAGTTAAACGTTCGATTAGTAAAAAAAAACAAATTTATTTTTAAACTTTTTACATACATATATAAAATTAATGTTTACATTTGGGGAAAATTTGATCTCACTATTGGAGAAATTTTATTTTTTGGAATAAATAGATGATGGTTTGGCAAAAATCTGATTCATTCCCCTTGTCCGAGAGCAATTCATTTATTTACATACTCATTAATGATATCCTCCTACAGATACACCTCCTCCACCTTTATTTCCTCCTAAACCCACTCCTTTTTCTAGCACCACGCCGAAAACTACACGACCGTTTAAATTCACTTTTGGTTTGGGCAAAAATGGTAAGAATAAACTTTTGATCACACTAAATGGTTCTACGTGATGGCCGCCATGGGAATGATAATCTGATCCTCCGTAGCCACCCTGATTAGATCCAAATGTTATAGTCACTCCCTTGGGTGCTTCATATCCTTGACCGTATCCACCGTCTTCGACACTCCCCCATCGATTAGAATCGTATCCTTAAGCTTCACGATTTCGTTTATGAATTGCAGCGGGAGGCGGATGCTGTGGAGGCAGTTGTTCAGGTTGATGGAAGTAAGGCACTGCTTGTTGCGATGCTTGCTTTGGTATATATCCATGGCTCTGCTCAAAATTGGGCGGAGGATGATGTGGCCTCAAATGTGGTGGCGGCGGAGCATACTGTTGTTGTTGTGGTGGCGGTGGTGGAGAGTGATGTTGTTGAGGTCTTGCCGATGGAAAGTGAGGTTGTGGCTGATGTTTTTGCGGCAAATGATGCTGATTATAGTAGGACTTGGGTGGATTGACAGGTTGTTGTTGTATTTGCACTTGTTGTTGCTGTTGTATTTGCACTTGTTGTTGTTGTTGTTGTTGTTGTGGAGCATAATTACCACCATTATTTGCAGGATAATAAGTACGAACACCCTGATCATCAAAATTATCACTAGAACGCTTTGGACCATTTTTTGGTTGCGGTGTTCTACGACCAACATCAGGTTTTTTAGATGTTGGTATTACTTCTTCCTCTTCAACTGTTGTTGTTTCTTCTTCGTCGTCGTCTTCCACTTCTAAAGAATTTAGAAGTGAAAGAATTTAGAAGTGGAAATTTTATTTGTATCCTCTTTTTGTTCATTAGTTAGAGAACCAGGTATAGGTACCACAAATATCTTATTACCGGATTCTCTAGATGCTGAAATTATTCTGGAC